AACTCAAAAAATTATTACCTTTTTTGTGCGCTTATCGTTCTGATGCCAATTATCTTAATGAAGCTTTGCATCTTCTCAGAAATTTAAAAAAAGTAGGTGATTTAGAAAACATTTTAAAAAAATTTACATTCTTATCGACCAAATTCGTTTATTAAGCGTGAAGGCTCCAAAATACAGTTGTGAAACCATTATTATGTCATTTTTAATATACGCTCAATCTAAATCTACATATGAAATCCTTAGAAATTTCCTTTCTTTACCATCTAGTCGACATCTCCGACGTTTATCTTCCAGACTACATATTACCCCTGATTATAAAAATGAGGGAAGTGATGATGATTATATAGCAGCAGCTTCGCAGTCCTTGACGGAACGGGAAAAAATTGTAACACTATTAATAGATGAGATTTATGTTAGTCCTAATCTACAATATAAAGCAAGTAATATTTCATGAGTAACTCATAATGAATCAATTGAACCTGCCAAAACCATTATGGCTTTCATGATAAAGTCGGTTTTTGGTAGTTCAAACGAAATTATAAAGTTATTTCCAGTAGTTCGTACCACCGCAGATTATTTAGTGGAATATTATAATTATATTTATTTAGTTATAAATTTACTTCAAAGAAAAGGCTTCTATGTTTTCCTCATTATTTGTGACAACAATAAAATCAATCAGGCTATGTTTAGTGTTCTGGTAGTCAATAGTGAAAAGAAATTTCCTAATCCTAATGGAAAACAACAAATTTATCTGATGTATGACACAGTTTATTTTACTAATAAATAATACTGAAATATAATAAAAACATATAATAAAAAATACTGAAATTTTACTAATATGCTTCAATTTTAAGTAAATGGGTGGATTAGGCCTACTGGGGATACCACTATAAAAAAACACGCCATATCCTCTACCTCTGCAAGGTAGTGCGGAAAGGGGAATAATTACTTATTTACAATTATATATTTATTTTATTATATTTATTTATGTCAAATGTTCAATTTTTACAGGCAAATTTTCACAAAAACAAAAAATTTGCCTGTGTGTAGCATTTTCACAAAATTTAAAAAAAATGAGGAGTCTGGAAGGTTTTTTAAATCAATTTTTTAATGTTTTTATAACACAGAATCTTAAAAATGTAAGCACTAGCAAAGTAGGAAAAGATTAAATTTTAAGTTTTTCTAAATAAAAATTTGAAAAAAGTTGATCTTGCGGGAGATTTATTTAAAGGGCCCTCTCCCATAGGAATACGTGTAAATTCGTCAGCTCTTAACTGTTACTCTCTTATGGTCCAGGCCTGTACTTCTGTTAGCCATGTTCCAAACTCTCAAAAAAATAAACTATGTACGTATCTATGACTGATTTCTATGTACATACATACATATGTATGTATATAGAAATCAGTCCATCTGATAAGAATGGTGTAATTTCTATTATTTGCCGTAAGACAAAGTTTGATGTTAAACAGTGTTTATATAAATAGCTATCAACAAACTCAAACTTAATCTTAAATATTGTCACATATGTAAAATAGAATTTTACATTAACATAATAATTTACTTCAAGCTATACAATAATAAGTACCATTTATGGAAATCTTAAAAAATGAACGGGAAGTGAAATGAAATTTTTTTTAAATCAATTTTTTAATGTTTTAATAATACAAAACTTTAAGAATGTAGAAAAAGATTGAATTTTAACTTTTACTAATTAAAAATTTGAAAAAAAAAAAAATTGATATTGTGGGAAATTTATGATGTTAAAAAGGGCTCTATATAGATCTTATAATATATTAGTAAAACTGAAAAATGGATATGAGACTGGTAGATCTGTTCCATTAAACCAGAGTTTCTCAAACTATTTTCCCTCGTAGACCCCTTGTCGTGTTTTTGAATTTTTGATAGAACCCCTTAATACTTATTCAATCAAATTCATATTTTTTTTGTAGACCTCTAGCAGGTCTTCATGGACTCCTGGGCAGTGTTCCCACTCAATAAAAACAAAATGTATCCAATTTCAAGAAAAAAATGTATCCAAAATGTATCCAGCCTCCTAAAGTAGAATTATTATACTAAATCGCCTTATTTTATACCAATAAACTCATAAATAATATTAATTTGCTTTATTCAACAATGTAAGTTTCGTTATTTATAGTAAATTCTTTTAAAAATCACACGCAATTTCTATTGCATTTTAAAATTTAAGGTCAGAAAATATATGTTCTGTAGCTGTTGAACTATGCGGTAAAAACTATTCAGCACGAAAACGGGCAAATTTTATTTAGTCAGCAAATAACATTTTTTGGAAGATAATGCACTTAAAAGTTACAGCACTTTAAAAGTTTTCTAACATTTATTTAGTGTTCGAGAAAGATATGTATCCATATTTCAGCAAAATTTTAAAATGTAGCCAATTTCGACATTTTAGCAGATTTGAGTATCTTTGTATCCAAGCTAAATTTTAAAGCAAAAATGTATCCAAATGGATACAATTGTATCCAAGTGGGAACGCTGCTCCTGGGGGTCTATATAGACCACTTTGGGAATCACTGCATTAAACTATCCTTTAAAGAATATTGTGATATGTGAATGAAATAGAAGTGTTGTTTCTTAGTGAAGATAAAGAGAAACATTCAAAACAATATATTTTTGTTTATTTACGCTTTTTTCGAATTCTTTTTTCCCTACTATGTCTGAGATCCTTAGCTTTATCTCAAGTAATCCTCATCTTTATTTCAGCCGCCAAAATTTCTTTGTAATACTTAAAAATTTTAGCACTTGTTTTTTTTTTAAAAAAAAAAATTATTAGGAGTTAACTCGCTTTTTAAATTCGATTTAACCTTGTATGATCTTCTAACCTGAGTTAATTACCTAAAACTGGGGTACTTTTTGATGCTACTGGGTAAGTTCTCATATAATTTTTTTTTGGCTAATCTGAGTTAATTTTATTATGTAATATAAAATATTTTATCGCGTACATATTTCATTCTTTTTTAAATTGTCAAATATTGAGTTGTCATTTTTTGTCTATTTGAAACTTTTAAATTTACTTAGTACTTTAATAGTTGATTAAAATTTAATTTATTTTTAGATATAAATTTTATGATCTACTGTTTTAGAGAAAGTATAAATTAAAAATGGCATACAAACTATGTATGTATGTATAATAACATAAAAATGGGGTATTTTCTTAGAGTAATTTTATAATTTCTCCGGCTCTTATATCAAAATTCAAAACAAAAACTTTCCAAAATAAAATCAGCTGATTTTGTTTGGGAAAATATATGTAAAACGCTTTATGCATCTATTTTATTTAAGGCGCCATGGAATGCTAAAAGCTGAAATATTGTGAAGAAGCGATGGCAAAAATATTATTCATCTTACTGATTTCTTCTGAACGAAATATTCAATTTCACTGACCGATTATAAATTCTTGTTTATCGTTCATTTCGTTCACTTCTTTTTCATATACATATATATATATCTATAATAACATCTATATTTATATAATAATATCTGTCATATTTATGTACAATTTTGCAGCAAAAAATACGTAATAGGTTTTAATTCAGCAAACTTTATTTTTAATAAAAATTAGATTAATATATAAAAAAGATTAAAAATACAGCAATCCCTCCTATGACGTAATTTTTGGGACCGAAAAATTTTTACGTTAAGTGAAATTACATTATAGGAGGTCCAACTAAACTAATATGACTAATATGTATGTACATACATATGTATGTAAGTACTTGATATTTGCCTAAACTAGTAAATTGTCTGTTGGTAAAGAAAGAAATTTAAATTAAAAAAAAAATAGATTATTGCATATTAAATTATTTTAAAATTACGTAAAACGAGGTAAAAATTACATTAATTGAAAATAGGTAGGAAAAATAAAATTTACATATATCGAAATTATATAGTAAGAGGTTACGTTATAGGAGGGATTGCTGTATACAATTACACGTTGATGCTATTCATATATATAGATAGTTATTCTCACAGGTACACACAAATCCTTGTAAGACGTATTCTCTTTTATCTTACAGGTAATAAGCCTATAAACTTTTAGCTTATAAGAAATGTAAATTTAAAATTATCATACTTTATAATATTTCTTTAAATTTTTTTAAATCGTAAAAATGTTAAATTAGGGAGAAAACGAAATTAAAAAATTTAAACTCTTTAGATTAGTTATTGTTACTATTTAATCATTCCTTTTATAAGTTAAGCCAAAATAGATTAACATACGTCAACTTTAAAAGATTTTAATTTAAAAGCTCTCATATTTATTTTAATTTAAAAGCTGAATACTCTCTAAGATTTAAATATTTTGAATTTTAAACTACCTATTTAGATATAAATTTTTTATTTCTAAACCGTTTCTTGTAACAAAAGATTTGCAGTGTTTCCATTTGCAATACATATAGAAAGTTTTTTAAATATGTACATTATGTATAGTTAATTGTTCTGGTTCTTTTAAATTAGAAAATGATCTTTTTAATATTCTTTTTCATGAATATTTCAGTTCTTTTTATTAGAAAATGATTTTCTTAATATTTTTTTCCATGAATATATCAGTTCTTTTTATTCGTTAATAAAATGCAAAACAAAGAAAAGTGAACTAATTGTAAAAGAACTAGAATGAACGCGAATACAAACATTTCGTTCATTTTTTTGTATTTTTTTTTAGGTAGTCTTCTTGTTCGGTCACTTTTATTTGTATTGTATTTATATTAGGAAACTGAATCGGTCAGTTTTGTGTGTACAGTATTTCATTTATTTTAGTTTTCGTTCGATTTTATCAATATTGCATAAATTTCTTTTGAAAGGTTATATAATATTAATACCGAAAAAAACAAGGAAAAATATAAAATGAATATAATGTGATTGAATGAATCATTCAGTGAACGATGAATGATTCATTTTTGAAGAAGTGAACTAATCAGGTAGTTCAATGAAGTGATTCGTTCTTTAAAATTAGTTTGTTCGCGAAAGACACATGACTATTGTGAACTAGTTAAGTACACATTAATTTTATTTATTGCAGATGAAAAATAGGAGTAGGCTTTGTAATGTTGAATAAAAATTTTGATGAGATTGAGTAAAGTACTACTTTTAAAATTTTACTGAACGGCGTAAAAATACATAGAATTATATACATACATATTTGATTTTTATCCAACGTTTATATGAGTAATATGAATTAACTCTCATATGCATGCTAGTGTCTGAATGAGTGCATAGACAATTTTCAAGTTCAAATTTTCGGGAAGTTTGAGTGAAAAGGAAGCAACTTTCAAAAACTTCAAATTGATATATTGTTTCAAAATTTAATTTGGAAATTCGCACAAACATATAAATGGAAATTGAAAAAATGTTTGATGTAATATTTGTAATAGAAGGCACCGCTATAAATGGAGCATATATGAACGATTTAAAAACAAATTATTTAATTCCGGCTCTTGAATATTTTTCTCAATCTCTGTTTGAAGAAAAAGAATACTTTACTTCAGAGAAAAGTGGTACTTACTTTTTTATTATTTTTCAATTTCAATTTCTAATAAAAATATATTAAGCTATGTTTTACGGCATAGTTTTGTATAAAACAGCTCAATCTATGCCAAATAACTCAACTGTAACATATGGACCTTTTACAAACCCTCAAAAAGTAATAAATGTGCTCGACAAATTGGACATGGCAGGAGGGGGTAGTGAATCTAATGCTAATTTAGCGGAGGGGTTAGCCACCGCCTTGGTTTGTGACAACATCAAAGGATATTATGTTTTTTTAACATTTTTTTTTTCTCTTTTTAATAGTGCTGCTTTGATGACTTAAAAATTTTACGACATCCAAATGATATAAATCTACAAAAACATTGTATACTTATTTGTAATAGTACGCCCTATTCAATGCCCGTTTTGGAATGCTATCAACATGAAGGAAAATCGGTTGAGCAATTGGCCACGATGTTTTACGAGAAAAAAATAAATTTTTCTATAATATCGCCAAGAAAAATTCCAATTTTGTTTAAACTTTTCGTAAAAGCCGATGGAGATTTGCCTTTAACTGCAAAAAATTTTTGTAAAGATCCACGACACTTAGTTCTTTTAAAAGGTTTTAATCTTAAAGAAAGATCGTCAAGTCCAAATATTAATGCAAATACGGTGCAATCTCAACAAGCGCAACAAATGTCTTCAATTTCAGGAGCTGTAAGCCCAATGGCTCAGAACCAAATATTGAATTCTAATGTAATCGAAAATAGTCAAATAAATTCAATGGCATCCAGCATGCCGAATTTGCAGCAGTCACAAGGACAACAACAAGTACACTCTGTGATATTAACTCAGCAACAAGTTCTTCAACAGAATCATAATTTCAATTCAAATATTCAGCCAGTCAATCGTTGGTTATTTCAAAATCCGCCTAGAGGGTCTTTTAATCAGATGTCGATAAGTTCAGTTGCCACAGGTAAATTCTTGTTCTCAAGTAATAACTGCCTCCTTAGCTTAATTATTTGCAAGAAAATGTAAACTTTACAAAGCAGTTTTTTCATAAAAATTAGAAAAAATGGACTTCATATTTCAATTTAAAAGCTGCTATAAAGACACAAAATTTTGTCTTTTGTGGTCACGCAAAGATTTTAGTAAAAATAAAACTGTTTCTACGCAATAAAAAATCAATTTATAAATCAACGATTGATTTTAAAATTAAATGGCAAAGATCAAAATATATTTTAAAAGTAACTAATGGTTCTAAAAGAGAAACGTTTTCTTATTTCCAATTATTTTTTGTATTGGATGTTTGGTTACTGCTAAACTAACGTGCTTTTACATTTTTTAATGCCTTACAAGCTTTGTAAAATTTTATCAAATTTGAGATAAAATTTTGTCTTTTTTTTAAAAGTATATAAAATATTTCTGCTTTTTTTAATGTACATGTTATGTGAAGTAATTATGTAGTATTTGTAATGTTATCGTACTATATAACAATTTCGTGTTATTTGAAAGAGTGCCTAAAGTCGTTATACAGGGTGTGTCGCATAAGGTGGCAAATAATTTCAGAGGAAAAAAGTAGGTGCCGGACCTCTCCTGCATATATATAAATGCTTATAACTTCGGAACCATACATACAAAGTTATCATTGGTTTGTTTTACAAGTGATTGTTCTTTATTTTTGGTCTTACAAACAATTTGAATTGAGCTATAGTTCAATACAGCTAGAAGAGATACAGCTCGTCAAAATTAAAATTTTTGTTTATTTTTTCTTAATTTTTTTTTTATAAAACTCGAAATTTATCGAAAATTTTTGTTACATATTTTTTTTTTTTTCGATGCACTAGTGCTGCAAATCAAAACAGCTGTATAACGATATATATATACATCTTTCTGTTTTAAATTACAGAAATTTTAACAATTTTGCTATAATGTTTGTAACTAAGGAAATATTTTTAATTTTGTACGTTTAATAAGCTATATACAATACAATACTATATTGTATTGAACACAAAAATTACTCAAATTGAACGTATCCCCTTCTTTTAGCTTTAATATTTTTTCTATTTTTTCTCTAAAAATTATTGATTTGTCTCAATTTAATAGTTTTTAATAACTTTGGAGTAATTTTTTTATTTAAGAAAGTACAAAATGGATTAATCTAGAAAAACAAAACAGCTATCTATAAACCTATGCGCCATACATACATGCATATTTAAAAAAGCAATTACGTTATTCTACTTAATTATGTATTCCCTATATTTTGTTGTAATATTTGAAATAACATAACAGCAATAGATTTTATACGACACAGAATCTAAATATCTAACTTATTATTTACATGGGTATATGCAAACCTTGCTTGATATTAAGGCACGGCTGACCGAAATACAATCCCAGACCCAGATCCCAAAGGGCTTAGGTAGACATACAATTTTTAGTTTTGCTATTACTCCTTGACTGCAGTTGCTCCTAGAGTGCGCGGTTGCACATAATCCTATGGAATATAAATTAACAATCAAACAGTTGCAAAACTAATAACCGCATGTCTGCCTGAGCCCAAAGGGCTCAGTTCATAGGTGACAGTTCATAGCTGACAAATTTACCCATTTTCTAATGGACGTTATGATGGCCCTTTTTAACACCATAAATTTACTACACTTTCCACTTTTTGTAAATTTTAGGTTAGGAAAAATTAAAATTCAATCCTTTTCTATTTGGTTATTACTAACATTTTTGTAGTTATAGAACATCATTAAAATCTTGATTTCAAAAAAACCTTCCAGACTCTGTTAATTTTTTTAAGATTTTGATAAAATGCTAAACTACAATAAAACAAGTAAAAACACCCTGCACCTTTCGTTATTGTGTAGCGATTACTCGAACCTGTGAAATCATTCTATAGAAACTTCACGGACATGTCTGACCTATAATTGGACATCCGACTGCCAAGTTTCATGAATCTGATTTTATAATTTTTCCAAATATTTAAAATTAGCTTTTGGAGTTGTATGGCAAGTACCTGAACCTGTCAAGCAATTCCATCAAAACTTCACAAATATATCTGATCTATAATCGGACATACAACTGCCAAGTTCCATGAATCTGACTTTATTATTTTTCCAAATATTAAGAATAAGCCTGTCAAGCAATTCCATCAAAACTTCACAAATATATCTGATCTATAATCGGACATACAACTGCCAAGTTCCATGAATCTGACTTTATTATTTTTCCAAATATTAAGAATAAGCTTTTAAACTTGTATGGGAGCTACTCGAACCTGTCAAGCAATCCCACCAAAACTTTAGAAATATGTCTGACCTATAATTGGACACACGACTGCCAAGTCTCATGAATTTGACTTTATTATTTTTCTAAATATTTAAAATAAGCTTTTAGACTTGTATGGGAGCTACTCGAACCTGTTAAGCAATTCCACCAAAACTTCAGAAATACGAGTATATCTGACCTATAATTGGACACACAACTGCCAAGTTTCATGAATCTGACTTTATTATTTTGCCAAATATTTAAAATTAGTTTCTGGAGTTATATGGCAGTACCCGAACCTGTCAAGCAATTCCTCTAAAACTTCAGAAATATATTTGACCTATAATTGGACACATGACTGCCAAGTTTCATGAATCTGACTTTATTATTTTGCGGGATATAAAAAATTTGCTGTTGGAGTTGTATGGCAGCCTCCCGAACCGGTGCAGCTATCCCATTATAATTTTTAGAGCATGTGTAGAATATAACTGGACACATGTATACAAAATTTTATATTTATAGCTTTATTAATTTTTGAAATATTTAAAATAAACTCTTTAAGTTGTATGGCAGCTACCCGAACCCGTTGTCAGAATTAGTCCAATAACAATAGGGTTCGCCCTTGGCACAAAAGAAAAAACTTGTGAAAGTTTGGTGTCGATTGCATTATTCGTTTTTGAGTTATCGTGTGATCGGACGGACGGACGGACGGACATGTCTAAATCGACGCAGAATTTTACACTGAGCAAGAATATATATATATGTCCATACCGCAGATGACACTTTAAAGTAGTTACAACCTCCATACCAAAGTTAATATACCCTTCACGAAGTGCAGGGTATTGATTTAGATTGACGATAATAGTAAAATTCATGCACTATGCCAAATTTGTTTTAACTTATGCAAATTTGCAACTTTCGCATTTTTACATAGTAGTCACCAGGACTAGGTACTAAATCTCAGGGGTTTCAAAGTTAGGAATTTTAAAAAATTTTCATGAAAATTCTGCTTTTTCAAGTCTTTTTACTTATAACTTCCGTTCCGAAAAAGATATTAGCTTCTAACATGTAGTTTTTTAAAAACGTAGAAAGGAGCTTAAAACCAACTTGATTTTGTAATTTATGTAGTTTCCGAATACCAAGCATTCGAACTTAAGAAACTTAAATTTTCCCCTTTTTTTTGCTTTTTTTTTAGTTTTCTCTAACCTCGCAACTTTTTGTAAAATTTTTAGAAACTTTTTACACGGAGTTTTGCCCATTTTCTTAGGCTTTAATTTAAATCCTCGAACCTTTTATAGTAAAGGAAATATAGCACAAATCTTTTATAGCACAAAGGAAATATAGAAAAAACATTTTATGTTAAAGGAAATATAGCACAAAAACCACTTCTATGTCAAAATTTTGAAATCCTCAGTAAAATGTACAAACCCACAAAATTGTCACTATTTTTTATTTATACTCGTATTGATTTGAAGTGATGGAATTATCGATTTTTAATTTTTGATCAATATACTCATTTTAAAGCGATTTAAATTTAAAAAAAAGTAAATTTTAAAATTTTTGCTGAAATACAATAATTTTTCCAATTTTTGCTTTAAATGCTCAAGCTGCACAGATATTCCACAAGCAAAATAAGCTGGACGAAATTAAATACATATTTGAGCTTACTCCGGGAATCTTCGGTTACTTGTTTAGTTTACAGCATCCCTGAACGAGTTTATTTGTAGAGAAAAGTTCCAAGAAAATTCAACAATAGCGATTTTTCTCAAAAATTTATTGTATTTCAACGAAAATTAGATTTTTTATCAAAATAACGGTTCTTAAAAATGTTAACTATTTTTTAAAATGATTATTGCGACCTAAAATCAATAAAAAACAAAAATAGTGAGAATTTTTTTAATTTTCTACATTTTTTTAGGTTCTTTAAAATCTTGACATAGAAATGGTGTTTCTGCTATATCTTCTGTACCATAAAAGAGTTTTTAACGTTTGAGGAAATTTGTTTTAGCCGTTAGGTAAAAAAAATTTCAAAATTTCAAAAGATTTTGTCTTATTAGAGCAAACTAAAATAATAAATAGGGAAAAATTTAATTTTTCCTATAATTCGAATCCTTGGTATTACGAAAGTACATAAAATACAAAATGGAGTAACATTTTGATTTTAAGCCCTTTGCTAGACCTTTTAAAGCTGTTTGTTTAAAACCCGTATCTCTTTCGATACAATCAAAAAAACTTCGAGAAGCAGATATTAAATGAGAATTCGTTAAAATTCCTGTAACTCGCAAAACTTTGAGATTAAGCACCTAGTCCAGAACAAAAGTTTTACTCATTTAACCTCCCTAAAGAATTGTATATGTGTTGTATACTTTTCTAAATCTTCTGTATATTTGTACTAGAAGCCCCTTGTGCGAATTGCACTAATTTCAAATATTTTTGAAAGTATTAGAACAAAATTCACACGTTGAGTTTCATTATATAAAGTTAATAATATAATTTTTAAAAAAAAAATTGTTACAATAGTTAAGTACATAAATATGTATGTATATATTTTTTTAAAGCTTCCTAACTAATTTTTTTAAGCTTTCTATATGAATTGAATAATATTCAAATTTGTGGTTTGGCATATAGAAACACATAATTATTAAATCATGGGGGAAACATAAGAAATAAATTTTTCAAATAAAGAAAAGGTTTAGGCATAAA